TGAAACTTCAGAATATCTAGCTGATTTCATTTTTCCATATAAATAAAAGTGGTCTCTATTCATGTAGGAGTTTTATGAGTACTTTCTATAATCAGATATAATATTTTTAATTTTTTCTTCAAAAAGACATTATAACAATTATAGGGATAGTGTATATATGAATTGAATATTTTAGCTAACTACGAATCTGTGCATCAAATGAATATGTTAATTTTGCATTTAATTAGTATAGGCCATGTATAATTAGATGTAAATATTTATTCTAAAAATCAAAACATAGTAATCTTTATAAACCTCTTTTAGCTTCCTTTTATAAAAGTCACTTTTTATTCTTTGACAAAAGAGTAGATGAAAAAAATGACTCTCCTGTGAACACTTTCTAGATTTTCCTGTGAGACATAAAATCTAATTATGCTGAGTTTGCCTACTGACAGAGCTGGTCTGTGTGCTATCATCATGATTCCATGTCTGTAAAACGCCAGTCCCATAACATGATTTGCCTCACTAATGTTTGTCTATTTCTGTTAATTTGTGATAAACGTGAGGGTGATGGTGTGTTTCAGGGTGAATTCATTATGACAACGTCTGGTAGTAACTTGTAAAAATTTAAAACATGAGTTTATATAAATTCTCATTTAATGAATTTATGACATTTTTAACATCTGTTGCAACTATTTTATTTTGCACTCACAAAGTTGTCATATTACCAGGGAATCATTTCTCTTTTATTTTTTAATTTTTTTATTATTATATTCCTTTGTTTGTCCTAAATATTGCTTAATGTTACCTTATTATAGATGCTTTAACTTTGCAAAAATGGAGTAAAATGGAAAAGAAAGGAAATGGAGAAATAAGCATTTGAATTTTTTATTTACCAACAACACTACTTTAAAAATCTGCCAAAAAAGATGCAAAATATATCTAAGTAAGAAGATACAGATTATTTTTTTCAAAAATAATTTGTTTTTTTTATTTACATCATAACTTTGTGTATTTTAAGTGATATTTTTAAAGGGTTGAACTCTCTTTCTGAAAGAGAAATAAATAGTATTGTTTATTAACTTTAACAGAAGTGATTTTCAAAATAAAGAAAATTATTTGATAGCATTCTATGTATAAAATAACTTAATATTTCACACTGAACAAAACCCTCATGAGAACAGATTTTTCTGGCCTCATCACTGATGAATCCTCCACGTCATTAGAATTGCCTGGAATGTATTGAATAGGTAATCGAGAAATATACCTGCAGTAAATTGTGAAGTGGATACATAAAGTAACCACGTAAATAGCAGTTTGTGTTCAGATTTTATGATGCAATACTCTCCCCTCCCCGCCGCCCCCCCCCCACACTAGTCATTAGTCTGACTGTCTCTTTTACACTGGATGGCATGTTAAAGGGCATTCTCAAGCTTCGGGCATCTAAACAAAGTGCTAATGAGCAGTCCTGGGACTATTCGAATGAAGAATATATAATCTTGAGAATATTTGGGGGAGCTGAGAATTTAAATTCAAACTGTGATTTAAAAAAAAATAAACTTACTCTGTAAAGTTGTATAAGAATTGGACGAACACATGAAAGATATAGAGATTACACATCATGAAAGAATATTCTAGACTGTGAAGCTGTAAGAAAACTGACTATATTTCATCTGCTCTTCTCGGTCAGGACAGCAATGTATCTTCTTGTGAGCAACAATGTCATTGTTTGCGTAAATGAACCAGTTTGTAGCACAGGCCCCCTAATATGTTGGGCTTTGAACTTAGTAAATTGGAACATGCCTGTGGTCTTATGCTTTGCTATTCATGAAAGGTTTTCATTCTTATTGGAGGAAGAAGAATTTGAAAGTATAGAATAATGCCCCAAAACATCACCCTGAAATTCTAAAAATAAATATTTTAATCAATTACTATAAACACTGAGGGGCTAATTCTAGATTACCAAAATGCCCTTTAGGCTTTTTTCATAAGATGGCATATGAATGATGAATCGTCCATTTTTAAAGGCCAATGGTGAAATACGAAATTGCTTAGGAAACATGTTTCTAGGGTCTATTTAAAAATGGTATATGGATTATTCCTCAAGATTTTACTTTTCTCAGTAAAAAATGAAATCTCCATTGATTTTAAAAGGAGATCAATGTTCCAGGGGCAAGAGTACTGGAGTAGATATGATAGGTTGCATTTACTCACAACTTTTTCAACTGTTCCTTATATCCTTTGTGAAGTTTTTGAAAAAATCTGTCATATTCAATACTATATTTGTTAATTTGAATAATATATTTCCCACACAATAAAAACAGATTTTAAATGTAAAAAAGCTTTGTTTAATAGTTACAATAATTTTAAGTTAATATTTTATTTTCTTTCTTTGCAATTCCATTTTTGAATGTATTAGAATGTTTTTACTTAAAATGTTCTTGATATATTTCATATACATTAAAATAGATATAAATACTTTTTTAAAAAATTATATTTTATACACTGGGATTGCTAGATACTTCTGTGATAGGAGCAACATTTAACATTCTTTGCTCTTATTTAGCAAGTTTTATTTTTGTCTTGCTTTTCTCTAGCTCTAAGAGGCAACATAGCATAGGTAATGGGTACAAACTCTGGAATCAAGACTGTTGTGTGAAGTTTCTTCACTTCACAGATAATGAGTAATGTGACCCTGGGCAAGTTACCTTCCATCTTTGTCTTTTATATCTGTAACTACTCTGTTTTTTGTACCTTAATTTCCTCTTCAGTAAAATAGGAATAATAATGGAATAAATAATATGGTTATCTTAGGAATTCAATACTTAAATATTTGGGAATCACTTTGAAAAATGGCTGGTACACAGAGAACATTCATTTAATGTCAGATAATCAAAAGGAAAGCTCGTTCACCCAATTTTTTCCTCTTTCACCAAAGTGTGCATACCATTCTATATATTATCACATTAGGCATATCTCTAAATTACAGTGATGCTACAAAGTTTGCAACTCTTTATTTTTCTTTTTGACCTTTAGATTCATCTCCAAATAGTGTAGTTCAAGACCATCCCTCTCGCTGTCTTCACTTGAACAGCAACTATTGAAAGAAAAAATAAAATTCTAGTCATTCTCTAAAGTAACTAGGATTCAGAGTATATCAAATACAGAACTCACATCCAATTTGTCTATGGATGCAATGACAGACAATAGAGAAAATAACACGCCTCTGAGGTTTTGTCTATAACTGCTTTAAAAGCTTCAATTTCAAAGGAGGTGTCATTATTTATCTTTTATCATGGGCAGCTTTAGAGTTGAATTTAAATTACTTAAATGCCTTTCGATAAATATAGATGTCTTCCCTTTGTTTCTTGGCCTACTCTGATTCGGATATCAAAATGTTCTATTACACTGAAAGTGATTGGCTTGATGCAGACAAATACTATAATAAACGAAGAGCTTGCTTAGACTCCTCAGGCTCCATTCACAAAACAGAGTTTTAAATACGATTTTCCTTTGAGGATATTTTTGTTATTATAAAAGTTTAGATATTTTTAGGGTAGATATCTTTTACATGTAGGATATTAAAGGCTTGTAGAAAAATTATTTTCTAAGTGTCAAATTTTTCAAAGTATAAAACTTCTAAATATTAAATTTTTAGCCCTTTGCCATATAATTATTCCTAAAGGGATATAAAGGGCTACACACACACACACACACACACACATACACACACATACACATATTTTCATCTATAGGTAGGTGTGGTTTCTTAATCTCTACCTTATTTCTAGATTTTTCTCTATGTCTTTGTAGTTGTTTAAATATGATATGCTGTGGAATGGATTTTTTTTTTTTTTTGACACATACTGCATGATGTTCTCTGATCTTCCAAGATCAGTATTTTGTTATTTATAATTAATTTTGGAATGTTCTCAGCCGTTATTACTTCAAATATTTCTTCTGTTCTCTCTTTTCTATCCTTCTGGTGTTCCAATTACACATACGTTACACATTTTGTGATTGCCTCACACTTCTTGAATTTTATGTTCTTTTTTTTCCCTTTCCTTTGCCTCTTTGCATTTCAGTTTGTGAAGTTTCGGTTGATCTATATTCAAGCTCACTCATGCTTTACTTAACTGTGTCCAGTCTACTGATAAATTCATCATAGAGATTCTTTATTTCTGTTATAGTGTTTTTGATTTCTAGCATTTCCTTTTTCTTTTTTAGAGTTTATGTCTTTCTGCTTATACACTCCATCTGCTCTTAAATATTTTCTACTTTTTTTCTATTAGAACCCTTACCATATAAATCGTAGTATTTTTAAATTTCTTATTTCACATTTCCGATGTCTGTTATATCTGAGTCTGGGTCATATGAAAACTCCTTTGTAAATATAAAAATGTTAAAACAATGTGTATGATTTACTCCTGTTAATTTGTTTTATGTCAGTTTAATTATTTAGCCAACCATACAACCTAAGGGTGTAAAAGGAAAGTTTTTTTACATAGGTTTCAGGAATTCGAACACCTTTTATGTCCTTATTTTGCCTTTGGTGTTCCTCAAGCACTCATCCTTAGAGAGAATCTGCATCTTTTAGCTCTTTCAGCTGCAATCTAGTTATAATGGTACCCCATTTGTTTGGCTGTAAAGTGGGAGGAAAGAAACATGTTCTATAATTTTATTATTTTTTTTAATTTTTATTTTTCAGAGTTGACATTTAATATTATTTTATATTAGTTTCAGGTGTACAACATAGTGTTCAGACATTTATATAATTTATGAAACGATCTCCCAATTAATCTAGTACCCACCTGGCACTATACATAGTTATTATAATATTATTGACTATGTTCCCTATGCTATACTTTACATCCCATGACTTTTTTGTAAATACCTATTTGTACTTCTTAATCCCTTCACCTTTTTCACCCAGCCCTCCAATCCCCCTCAATTTTATTAAATCTTAATGTTTAGAACCTTCAAATGTGTTTTTCTGATGGTGTGTTTCTTTTCCTCCTTAGGTGAAGACAGAAGGCTGCAGAAGGCTGCAGTTGGAATAAAGTTCCAATAAGGTCTTTTTCATTGACTGTAGGTCTTTCTTATGGACTACATTCCGAATGTATTTCACAATAATTATTCTTCTTTTTCCCCTGCCAGAGATAAGAGCTGTCTTTTTTGAATCTTCAACGTGAGAACCTGGAGATTTTTGAGTTTTGAGTTCTCCCAAGATTGTAGCCCTCTGCAGTTTCTCTCATACTAGTCTTATCTCATTCTTCAGCAATTTGTGAAAATTACCAGTTAAGTATTCTTACTAGTTTATGTATCTAGCAGCACTGCTCCAAGTAAGTAGATCTCCATTTAGTCTCCGGGTTTATTTTTCTTTACAGGTGGCAGTTTGTCCTCTACTATCAATTCTCTGAAAGTCATTGATTTTTAGTGTGTTTAGTTTTTTGCTTAAGGTCAGGAATTTTGACTTCCTAGCTCTTTATATGCCAGAGCTAAAACAGAAAGCTGATTTTGTTTATGTTCGGTAGAAACAAAAATAATCACTATGCTCAAATACACTGAGAAGCATTTTACACAATTAAAAACGTTAAAAAAATTAATCCTTATTCACTAATTTACAAATATTCTCTAGTATATAATATGTTCAAAATGTGCTATATGTTATAAAGTTAAAGAAGGCAAATTCTTTGCTCTGTATTTTATCATATATTTTGTGAAATAAGATTTATTGACAAATAACTACAATGTAATAAATTATATCTTGTGATATATATGTATATATTTCATTCTTCTCAGATTTTATAATAAATAAAATATCACAGAGGTACTGTGAAATGGTCATTCCCTTCTGTGGTGGTACAATATAACATTTACAGGAAAAAATAACATGAAAGAAATATTAATAATTATCTTCATTTATTTTATTGAAACTTGAGTAGTTTAAGTTATAATTAATCAAGCTAATTGAATAATAACTAAAAATAAGCAGAGTGGTCAAATCAGCAATGTAAAAGTTAAATTAAATAGGTCGTTTTTATGTTAATTGGAAAATAACATTGAATTATGTTGATTCTGTAATGTTTTGCAAAATGGCATAAATTATATACTTTGTCCTTTTTTCACACATTTTCAGATTAAAACTTGGTAAAATTTTACACTCAACACTTTTAAAATTTTAACCGGTACCTTGTATCAGCATGAATGACTACCTTTTGCTTCTTACACTTTTCCAAATTGTGTCATAATCCTGAGCCCTATAAATGAAAGAATGTTCTTCCAAGATTTATAAACTCGTGGCTTGCTATTGTTCTTTACAAGCCACTGTGACCTTCTTGGCCCATCACTCATTTAATAAAATAATTTCACTTTTATGGTGGTGCTAAGACTATGTGTTTAGAAAACCAGTGACCTTCTCTCTCATAATAACAATGTTTTTACAAGTCTAACCTTCTTAAAACTAAATTTGGTTGAGAATTTCGCATCTTTTTCTAAATGTAAGAAAGTGAACAATGGCTAGTGCCATCCACAGCTTGAAATTTTGCCAAGTTATATAAAAGCTCAAAATATACTTGTATTTAGTTTTGTGAGTTACATTAAATAAAGTGTCTTTCACTGTCTGTCAAAGGGCACCATCCATAAACACATACTTCACATCATAAGATTATTTATAGTGAGTCTCTCAAAAACAAATGATACTCTCTGAGTATGTTATGAAGAATTGTAATATGAATGTTTGTTCTATAGCACTTTTTCTGAATGTATATATCTGTTTGTTTATCTTGTTCTTCTTACCTGATAACAATATTCCTAGTGTTTGTATAATATTTTTATCTTTAACAATGTTCTTAGTGTTTTTTATAATGCTTTATCTTCTGGGCCAGAATTTTTATCAATATCATATGTGCTTTAAATAGCAAAAGTAATGGTAGTCTATAGAGTTTTTTGCATCCCTCTTAAGTAGTATTTCTTTTAGGTCCTACTCACATACAAATAAAGCAATCTTGAAAAATATACCTGTCAATTATAGACATTATGGCTTACCCTTGTGCATTTTGATTGATGTGTATGAAAGAGCTGTCCTGATAACTACACATCGAACTGGTAGAAGCCTTGCAAAATGTTTATGAATATAAAGAAATAAAATAAATATTATATTTCACATAATATGTTAGGGTTTGCTTAATTATAATTATTAGTAATTTTACTCAAATCTAATGGGAAAAACAGTGTCAGGGACACTTTAAAAGGTATTAAAATTGACTCCTGGAATGCATTATATCATTTTCTTCTTAGTGAAATTAATTTCCTAACTTTTTTTCAGATTCCCTAAGTCAAGATACACTTGTGGGAAAGTGAATATGTACAAGTTATAATTATTTCTTCATAGAGACTCAGCCAGGATTAAAGCTTTGCTTAGACAACATAAACAGAAAATACAGATATGGAAAAATAAGCAGTAGTTATAAATTTGCCTTCTCAAAAAAATAGAATGTGCTGTGACAATAACAAGAACAATAACAATAATAACATACAGTTATTGAGATCCTACACTGGATCAGGCACTGTTCTATTAGGAAATTTCTCAAAACTCTCTTTATTAAATCAATACTGTCATTAGTTCCTTTTCGTAGAGGAAGAAAATGAGGTTCAGAGTTTTCATTAACCTTCCTAAAGTCTGTATAGCGTAGTATTTAGTTTTGTGAGTTACTAAGAACACTAAAAACACTGTTAAATACAGAACAAGATTTTAAACTCCCTTATTCTCCTTTGAGAACTTGAAAGTCATAGACCCTGTCTTATTGTTCATGCGTACTATGTGTGAAATACTGTCATAAAGAATGCATTTGCATTACTTTACATGATTTTTTATAATAAAGCCAATGGGAGAAAAAAATATTTCCCCAGTTATAGAGACAAGAAAACCACAAAGTTGAGGAAGTTTAAATAAATCATACCAGCTACACCCCACTAATGAATGGCATACTGAGGATTTGAATTTGGTTTTCTTTTATCCTGTGGTCTGTGTTCTTAATCCCTGTAGTGATAGTCTTTATAAAATGTGTTCTCTGTTCCTCAAAAACAGTTTTATGTATCAGTGTCCTTTTAGCCTTTTTAGTAGGATAGTACTTACTTTCTAGTAGTATAGTGACCTAATTGCATCTTATTTTCATTTCTCAGCTATCTGTTGAAGCTGTGTGTTTTAAAATTTATATCTACTTCAGTATTTCTTTTATGAGTCATTGTGCACTATTTCCATTTAGTTCTTCTCAATAAGATAATTTATAGTTGCGGTAATACATGCATTAAAAATACTATTATTATTTAAATTATTATTTATAGTAGTATTATTTTTATAATTGTCAATGATATAAAGTAGACAAAATAATATGAATAGGTTTGAACAAGTTCAGATGTTTAAAAAAATTGTACTTTTGAAAACTAAATTGTCCTTTTCTTGATCCTCTGTTACAGTTTCTGGAATAAATGTTAATGGTTAAAGTAATTATTGAGTTCATGGATTTAAGCATGATGGAGTGGCACAAGCTTAGAATAGATTTGTCATATGAGAATGCAATATTTTGGAATATTATTGATTGTAGTTTCCAGAGCAAGAACACTTTATACATCATTTATTATTATAAGCAACAATTTTTATTACCTATGTGTCAAATAAATGGAAAGTTTAATCTAACTGAGAAGTTGTTGACATAAGTGTGCACAATTCCACTAGATTCTATCACAATTTACAGTAAAGATAGCCATCTATGGATGTGAGAATTAGGATAAGTCTGAAAGCAAAAGAATGTGCTGCCAGTAGTACTGCCAGATAGAATTTATATTCCATATCTACTTCATGTAGCTATTGATTATTTGAAAGATATTCTTTCTAATACAGTTCTGGAATCCAGCTTGTCTTCTCATTCCTTTTAAACTAGCTCTGTCTCAGGAGGCAAAATATCTTCTAGGAAAATCAGAGTAACCTGAATACTGAAACTTTTACCATCATACTAGCCTTCTGGGCGCCTTGGCGCTGATGTACTTTAGCAGATTAGAGTATTGGGAATACTAGTTTTACAGGCTGAAGTAGTTTTCTGTACTCTCCGAACAAGGTAGAAAGTAGGCAGCTTTGCAAGTCAAATCTGGAGCGTTACAGAAATGTAGGATCGTAGCCCTTTTTCTCACACACCGACATGCCTCCAAAACATCCTTTAGAAATGTGTCAGTCTTTATGAAAGTGTAGTCCTCATCCAATTCTTTTGGTATAGATATTGAAAATACAGAATTCTAGGGCCAATCTCATATCCACAGAATCAAAAAAATGGGGTTTGATATCTCAGAATATATATTTTAACTAGTATCTTAGATGATGCTTATGTCGACTTAGGTTTGACGACCAATGCCACAGTGGAGTTTAATTCAGACAAACATGAATTAGAGTGGGACTATTAAACTATTAAACTATTAAACACATAAACACACTATTAAATGCATAATTTTTAGATATATTTATTTCTTATGTTCTATTGAGAGAATTGAATTTGAATTTTTTGAAGTAAAAATATATTGTTTTGATATTTAAAAAACTGAAAATTTAGATAATCTAAACGTGGTACTCTCCATCTTAAACATTACCAATCAATTAAAAAAAATACTAACACCATACTACAAACATTATAGCTCTAGGCCAATTTTGTACTATGGGTGAGGTCTGGTCTATTGTATTAGCTTATGAACATTTTCTATTTGTTTTTATTTACTATTATTATTATTATTTTATTCAGTGGTATGGCAAATGAATCACATGAGAATGAAAAGTGTTGTCTAAGGTAAAATAGTGCCACTTTGGGAGAAGGCTCAAAAACCTTTGAATAAAAAACGAGAGGATAATTAAAAGAAGAAAGAACTTTATATTGCATATATAATTCCTCCTCATACAATACAAGCAATTCTATCTTTATCTACAGCATTGCTTCCTAAAGCCCCAAGGAAGACATCTCTGAGCTCATGTGGGTATTGAACCTTATCATTGGCATGCAAAAGTATTAGCCTTTGGCAAAAAAGGAGGAGTGAGAATTAAATCTTGAAAATAGCTTCAATTATAGAAGTAGGATTAATATGTAGTATTTCTCTGAGTTCTCACATGGATTTAAAATCTATTGCTTTTTTTCCCTCCTATAAAATTTTAAAGTGTGTCTTTTACGAAGAAAACAGCATTATCCTTAATTAAAACTCCGGAGAGAGCTTTAGAAGTCTATAGTTCAGATTGTAATGTTTGAATCTTTTCATTTAAGAATTTAAGCTCATCCTGCCAAGTTTCTGATTTTGTTTCAAGATTGGTGATTTGAGGGGCATAGGAATCAATTTAACTTCAAGTGCTTGGATAGCTTTCAATATGGTTTATAATAATACCTCCTTAACCAGCTACATGGAGATTAAGATTTTTGTATGTCAGTAACAATAGCAAGACAGGTTCACTGAAAATTTATGGAACTATTAAAAAAAGATGTCATTAAATAAACATCTCATAAAATTACATTACTTATTATGTAGGCACTGAGTATTTTGAAAGTTACCCAAATTAGAATAATGTTCAATAGATGGAAGAAATATTTTGTTATGAAAGCAAATATAAGTAGTCTATACAGTCAAATGGGCATACAGGATTCAGGAGACAGGTTTTAGTTCTGTATCGCCCATTGACTTGAACAAGCCACTTAATATCTCAACAGACTCAAATTTCTCGTTTCAAAAAAAGTAAGTTTGAATTTTATCTCTCCAAAATATTCTTTAGTCCTATAATTCTGACTTTCTGGTTCCCATTTTCTGCATTAAAATGCTTTAATGCATCGAAATTTCTAACCAACTAATTGGTACCATTGTGATCTTGAAAAAATTATCTACTATCTCTGAACCTCAAACCTCGTTTTCTTTTTTTCTCTTAAGTCTTAAGTTTTATTTAAATAACCTCCAGTGGACAAATTACTACTCTCTCCTGTAATACCAATTAACCAAGACAGGAGAGTGAGCACACGCTACAGCCAGCCTGCCAGCCACTCATGTGAGGGGTGGGATATCTCTCAGTGGGGACCGCCACGTCCTCAGCCCCAGCCAGCAGCTGGGGATGCGTCCACTGTCGAGCGAGGGTTCTTAATGGTTTCATCTACAGACACAATAAGGCACGCGGCCTTAGAGACTGCAGTCACGGCATTGATCTGCGCACCTAAGTGGCTCCCATACAAAGGCTTCGAAGTCGTCAGCAATGTCTTTGTTGTTGATGTCTACCCGGTAAGCACATGCCCCCTTCGCATGCCGAGCCCACAGCTTATTGAGGATGTTTGTGGCATCAAAGCCAACATTGTCACACAGCTGGCGTGGGATAATTTCCAAGGCCTTGTCGTATGCCCCAATCGGCAACTCCTGTTTTCCTGGAATGGTTCTTGAATAATCCTGCAGGTACTTGGAGAGCTCCATCTCAGTGGTCCCACCACCGACCGCCACTGAATCATTCTTGATGGCCCTCCTGACAATCATAATGGCATCATCAGAGATCGCTGTCTTCTCCGTAAACTTCTTGGCGCCACCGCAGAGGATGTTGGTGCAAGTCTTAGCCTTGGGGCAGCCCCTGAAGAAATTGTACCCTTCGCCTCCAATCTGGGTCTCTTCAAAGACCTGGCAGCGGCCCAGCACATCCGCTTTCAGAGCTATCACACAGGTCTGGTTGGGGCCTCTGCGGGCCTTCATTGTCCTCTTCAGATCCTCTTCCGGCACTCGGCCAGCACAGAACATGTCTCTGTCAGTGAAGTACTGGGTGACCACATCACCAATAGAGAGTTTGGACAAGAAGACTTTGGCTCCGGAATGATGGATCTTCTCAAACTTGTCGTAGAGAATGTTCCACTCAGCATCAACGATTACCTGATAATCCTCAACTGTGTGAACTTTGATTTCAGCATTATCATTCTCGGCTTTCAGTTCGAGCTCAACATTTAAAAGGGCAATCTTTGGATTATGGTACTTTTTGGGTTGCATTTCAAATCCAGTGTAAGAAAAAGACTTCTTGAATGCAACACCAGCTACCAGCTGGAACTCCTCTAGGGCTCCAACTTACCTTCTTGATTTTAATCATTTTAAGCTGCAGCAGATCATTGAGAGTTATCACTGCAACCACCATCATTTTAGCAAAGAAAGCTTTCTGCTATGAGATCAGCTTGGAGCTCAGAGCGGTCATAGCACACTTCTCCAGCAACTTCCTTTGCTCTACTTTATCTTCCTTCTTCACAGTCACAGCAATCTCTTTGATCTTGTTAACTATCAATTGGGTGGCAGTGAAGAAATCTCGGAAGATGCAAACCTCCTCCACACGGGGTTTCACTTGTTTCAGAAACACTACTGTCAGCAGAGTTACCGGGGTGGTGTCATAACCAACCTCAGCATCTTGGGATTTGGCAATATCCACTAAAGTCTTTGCTGCAGGATAGACAATGTCAAGGAGTTTCAGAATTGTGTCCCCATCTTTAGAAATTGTGGCTTTGCTTCAGCCATCCACAAGGAGCTTGTCCATGCAACGGGGGACCAGGGTGGTTCTTATAGCCTTGGCAATGACCTGACAGGCACTGATGTTACTTACAAGCTGGGGATGCCTTAAGAACTATCAGTTTGATACATCATGTATGCAAACAAACAAACAAAAAAAGTAAACATAACCCCCTTGGAACCACGTCTCCAGAGTCTCCTTGCCATTGGGGCGTCAAATCCAAGGAGTGTAACTTGAAGTTCAAACTGTAATTTTAACATACTTTGAGTTATTTATTGTTTGTCTTAAACTCTGAAAGTAACCAGTTGTGTGTGTGTGTGTGTGTGTGTGTGTGTGTGTGTGAGAGAGAGAGAGAGAGAGAGAGAGAGAGCGAGAGAGCGCGCGAGGGGCATGAGTGTGGTGTTTCAATCTTACCTACCAGGAATGCAAGATAAAGCAGGAAGTCAGAAGCATATTAGTGGTAATGACACAAAAAGATGACTCTCAGTACCTTCATTAAGAAAAGTAAAGTCATTCCACATAGAATTACTACTCTAGGGAACTTTAAATTCATGAACAGTCTTAGTGAAGAGCTTCCTAAACTTTCATATGCCTTGCTTGGGTAAGTCTCTACTGCTCTTTTATCATCTTAATGGTATATACTCATCACAGCTCAAAGGTCTTTTCTCACATCCATAGCATAATATTTCCTGTGTTTTCTGTTCTACTTATTCTAAGTCCTGTCCAAGAACCTTGCCCACAGGTACACAATTCACCAGCTATTTTTCAGCCCCTGACTGATAGGATAGTGCTAAAGCCTTCAACAAGTCCCTGTCACTG